CTCAACCCAGTTGAAACCCTTAGATTTTGAAGTATTTATCAGGTATCTGAATTTTGACCTAACTTCTCTATTTAATCGTTCACATTTTCCCTGTGACTGAGCTCGAGGATGATAGGCTCTACTATTTATGATGTGTACTCCATGCTTTTTAAGATACCTTTTCAGTTCACCTTTGAATTCAGTGCCCCTGTCACATTGAACGATTTTTGGGAATCCATGCTCGTTAAAAATCTTTTTTAATTCTTTGGTGACGGATTGACTTGATTTTATCTGTAGTGGACGTAAAAATACAAATCTCGAGAATACGTCAACTACAGATAATACATACCTGTAAGAATGTCCGTCTAAGCTTACCCTTTCCTTTCTCATATCAATGAGATCAATCTGTATGCGCTCAAAAACGGACTTTGATGTGACTGGCTTCATCTTTGCTTTGTTTGTGAAGCGGGCATGGAGGCGTTGATTAATTTTGCTTTTTCCCAAAATGTTGAGGATTCTTCTCTCTCCGGTCCCAGCATATTTCTTACGTAGTGTATGACTAATAGATCTAGCGCCTGTACCTTGAGCTCTCTTGAATTCTTTTAAAACTTCTTCTTGCAAGGTGTTTTGTTTCAGAACTTCTTTTCCATTACGATAAAGCTTCTCCACGCCGTCTTCAACACTGATAGAAAAACTGTTCTTATTTCGCCAGAATTTTATGACAGCATTCTTTTGTAATCTTCTTCTATCTTTCACTGGGATTTTGAATTCGTCTTTCGTTAGAAGAAATAAAGTCTCATACGTTTCCTCGTCCACTGGCTGTGGTTGATTTTTTCCGTCCATTTACGATAAACGGCTTAAAGAAAAAAATAAATATGTTCAACCTTTTCACGTTAGCGTATATAATTTAAACTTGGAATTCTTAAGAATATTTGACAATTATTTTCCTTGATATTAAATACATTTTGCTTCTTGATTTTCGGATTTTTTTTTCCTTGTTAAAATTAATCTGAGAGGAAAAATAAAGAAACAAAGAAAAAATGATTATATACTAACATAAAGATTATAACTAATCATAGTTTGTGATTTTTAACTAACCTTGTTTGACGTTACCTTACAAAACTGCTTTGAAACCCTTTACACTATTTGAATCGTTCGTTCTGTAAACTTCCGGTGTATAAAAAAATAAGAAGAGAACCCGTGCTTCAAAAATTCGAAACTTAATCGGAAATATGTACACGTGTATTTTCTTTTCTCTTGTGCATATCAATATAAAACAAGAATATTCACAATGTACACACGCTTTTCACGGCGAAATAAACATCATTATTTTATTTTATTACACCTCTATTGATTTTTCCCTATATAACATTAGATCGTTAGATATTACTAATTCCCTAGAAGTCATTAAGAATGGACTAATCCCCGAGTGTTAGTCAAGTGAGCTAATCCCTGCTTCGAAAGCTAATTCCCGGTTATCCATAATCCTCTAGAATTTACTTTTACATTGCTTTGCCTCGGGAAAAAGTCCTGGCCTTGGGGAACTGGAATCTTGCTAACTCCCTCAATGATATACTTAAACTGTATATTAATTATACAAGAATGTTGTACAATCATGTATTTTTTGTCTGTACATGTATTTTATGTTTGTTTTTATGTTGACGAATGAAATGGTAAAAATTATTTTCTAAACTAATGGTTAAACATGATTTGAATATCACTTCATGAAGAAGAATATTTGTTTTAAATATATTATTTTCATTTTCGGGTATATGTTCGTTTTGTTAATTATTTAAAGAATGAAAAGCTTGAAAAATTGTTAAGTCGTAGGAAAATTAGATCCCTTGCCTTGCATGGCCAATCGGCAATCCTCGGCTGACTCCGCTACGCTCGAACCTCTAATGTGATAGGTGGAGGAATAAGCATCAGGTTCATACATTTCTCTGCCGGAAACTGCCTTGTCACTCATTTCATATTTCTCTCTGCATAAAGTTCTTCGAAAAGGTTTCTTAATTTGTCTAATTCTTCATTGTAAATAGATTTTGATTACAACCTTATGTAAGTAGGCTTTGAAAGCAAAAACAAACTGTTGGGCGTTCCACGAAACAACTGAGATTTCAAATGTATAACATTTAAAAGAAATTAAAATAAGATCACATGACTGAATCAGCAAGATGGTAGAACACCTTTGACGTCCATGATCAGTGTGCGAGGTACGAGCCATTCCAGGAGCTCCGAGTGTTGAATGCCATTTCAAACAGTGAAATAATTGAAAATGTTCACGTCAATCAAAAAGGACAGGGAGTGCATAGTCCAAAAGCTGTAAAATACTTCAACTCCACGACCCGTCTTTCAAATCACGTGCTTTGCAGACCTGAAAAACTCTCTCTCTCTCTCTCTCTCTCTCTCTCATAAAGAATGGGGAGCTTTCTGCAAGCGCAAAAATGAAATGAACAACATACAAAGTTACCCCTCCCCCCAACTCACACTTCTAATTTTCTACACTTCTAGTTTTTTACGTTTCATTTTGCTTTCTATTCTCTTTTTGTTTCTTTTCACCAAATCATAAAGGCATAAAGGGAACTTTTTTTTTTAGTTTTTACCATCATGAAATTTTCTTTATTTTGTTTTTGTTTTTTTTCATAAAAGTAAATATAACTTATGAAGGGCTTATAACTGATCTATCATACAAGGCTGAACTATATGCGTCCCTCCCACTGAATCCTTAAGAATTATTTAAAAAAAAATATTCCGTTGATTTATGCATTATTAATACTTGGATTAATACATGTTTAGTAGTTTTATACCTAATTATTTGAAATATAAATTTAATCGTCGTTACCTGGCAGAAAAGGAAGTTCGTTACGTCATGTGCCTCGATCTCTTGAATGCTCCAATATACTAAAATCCCCCATCCCCCACTCCCACTCCCGCTACGAAAGATGCATGTAACCGTAACAAAAATATGAGTACAAGATTTCATAAATTTTAATTTATTTCCCGATTAAGATGGTTTGATCGAATTATAACAAGGTAAATTTGAACAATATTGAATCTCAGGAACAAGTTACTAAAGCATCATTATCTTTTTTTTTTTTTTTTTTTTTTTTTTTTTGTTTGTTTGTTTTGCAACATAATTTTTCATCAGTATGTTAAAGAAAGCATCTTTCGATAAGCTTCCAAAATCAACCGTCGCAGATTTGCTTCCTTGTGCTCCCTAGCATTCGAGAGTTCTTTTTTTTAATACTGAAACATGCAAGTCAAACTTCGCGATATGACATTTCATGTGAGTTTCTTAATATTGTCTGAAGACACATATTATTTCATTTTTGAGTAGTTGTCGTCTAACCTGTGCAAACATAAAGAAAAAAAATTATATGAAGGAACTTAAATGAATTCCTCTTCCCTTATCGACCAATTCACTTCATTTACTATTCCAATTAATGTCCTTTATTATAAAATATATGTTTAAATCTTATTTCATAACGTTTCGTTTTCAAAACCAAGCAAATAAAACATAGCATTTTGTATTCATACTTTTTGCTTTTATTACATTTTGCGTTGCTCTCAGCGCAAAAATGAAATAACGCAAAATGTAACAATCAAAATGTACGTTATTACATTTTGCGTTGAGATCACCGCAAAATGTAATAACGCAATATGTAATAAACCTTATTCTCTTTTATAACATTTTGCGTTATTACATTTTGCGGTGATCTCGACGCGAAATGTAATAACGCCAAATGTAATAATAAAAAAAATGAGTTATTACATTTTGCGTTATTGCATTTTGCGTTGATCTCGACGCAAAATGCAATAACGCAAAATGTAATAATCCCAGTTTATTACATTTCGCGTTGTTATTACATACCTAAAAAAAAAAAGATTTTACATCAAGTAATTGGTGCCTGTAGGATAACGAATATGCCCTAATGTCACCAAGTGACACTGGCACATTGGTAGGTGGGAGAGGGGACAAGATGACGTATCTCCCCCGAAAAAATACTCTTGTGTCCCTTGTATCAGATTTATAAAGTACAGTACACAATTTTGTGGTCCGACAAATATGCCTCAATTACATCAGTTTCACAATGAGGGAAGTTTGTGAAAATCAAATCAAGCTGTGAACCTGAATCATGAGTTACTTTTTGTACAATTTGCATGCATTTTAAATTCAACTTCATAAAGTTCAGAAAATCTTTGATCCTGTAAACAAATCAAAATTGAAATCTCCAAAAATGATCAATCTTTTCTCTGTGTCTAGAAAAGGTTTTAAGTGCAATGTAATTTCGCGTTGAGACTCTTTAAAAGAACATGCTGGGAACTTGTAGAAAACAACTATCTGCACTTTTTCAAACTCTCTGAAATTTATTAAAGCGAAAATGAACTCAAAGAAATTGTTGCTGAATTTTTGATACATGTCATCAAATGATCCTGTCTAACATATAATGCCGTTCCGTGATGAGGAGGATTGCTTTCACTTCTCTCTTTATGAATAAACAAATTCAAGTAACCTTCTATCACAAAATTCTCTTCATCATTTATGGTTTATCTTGTTTCTGAAAAACCAATAACATCAGATGCTACAACATTGGGTTCATGTTTTATTTCATTGAAATGTTTGTGAAGTGTCTTGCATTATAAAACATAATTTTCAGTTTGTACTGCTCTACTCTGTACAATGGAAGATAACACAGTTTTAGAAGTGCTTCCTTCCTCATTCTTTCCATTTCTTGTACAACTTTTTCATCCACAATTAAAGCTTGCTCATTGAAATTCAGAATATGCAACTTGTCAACAGACCTAACTCTACTAAGCGCCACATAATGAATGTGTGGTGTTTTCCTCGTCCTTGACTGAGACAAATCTACTACAATTTCATCAACAGTGCAGCCCTGGGCCTTATGGATTGTCTTACCAGCAGTGGTCTTAAAGGAAACTGTATACTTTGAGATGTAGTTGAATTGAAAACGAAAGATCGCTGACAGTCAAATATTGGTGTCCAATCATCCTTAACATCATCATGGAAAAGGTGTCTGTATTTCTGTCGAGCAATTGTCCCTACTGCAGAATCCAAAAACTTCACCCACACTAATACTTGGCCTTGATACACCTGGCAATCTGTTTTCAACAAGAAATACAGTACATGATGAACCATTTGTCAAGCCATCAGTAACATCAATATTAACAGTAATGTCATAAATCATTCCAATGGCTAGAGAAAGTCTTGTCATCAGGTTTGCAGTTTTGCTAACATCATCTTGATTTTGCAATGATCGGAGTAGTCGGTCTTTCACAGACTTACTGTGGTCTTTGAGGACACTGTCAACAGCTTTTACAATGACTTTTTCACCAGGAAGTTGCTCTATAAGTTTATTGTTATATTCATCAACTTTCGCATTCATTGTGAAAAGATGGGGAGCATTGAGTGGATAATTAGGACTATTTTCAGTAATGATGTACATCTGAATTACAGCCAAGTCCTCAGAAGTCATCTCATTGTGACGAAGACAGTTCAAAAGCTGTGCAAATGCTAAATCGTCCTTTTGTCGCATTACTTCATCTAACTCAAGTAAGGTGAAGTTTTCTTTCCAAAGATTACATGCAAGTGCTTGGACATTTTGTTTTAAATCCTGAAAAATCCAGCCATCCATGATTGGTTTAATATGAAAGAAATCTCCAACAGCAATAATACTAATGTCTCCAAAGGGCCTCTTCAAACCAGTAAGAAGCTGAAGTCCATCATTGATAAATTCCAATTTTGCATTGCCAACCATTGAAATTTCATCTATGATGACAACCGACAAATTTCTATATTTAGTTCTAAATGTGTTCAGTTCATCACAATGCATGTTTTGCTGCCTTTGGTTAATTTAATTGGTGAAATGCAGAAGCAATTGTTTGACCACCAATGTTAAATGCAGCTTTGCCGGTGTATGCACAAAGAAGAATTCGTATATCATCTGGATTTACACCCTCCTTAGCACATAAATACCGATGTAAAGTTTGATAAAGTGCTCTTATTAATACTGACTTCCCAACACCTGCACCTCCTGACAGATATGCATGAATAGGTTCCTTTTTACATTTGATCCATTGTATAACATGATTAAAGAATTCACGTTGCTTAAAATTCAGACTGGCCACAAGCTTTAAATACTCATCATCAGGTAATCTAACAAAACTCTGCTCATTCAGTTGTCCTGTTGATGGAATTCCAACATCACTTCCTATATCATACTCTCTCTGTTCAATTGGCCTTTCAGGATTGAAATGAACAAAAGTTTCAGAATCAACATTTCCTTCATATTCATCATCTGCTTCAGTTTGCTGAGCACCAGGAGCTAATTCATCATATGCTTCAGTCAAATCATTTGCGCCATCTGTTCTGCCTGCTCAAGCACATCAGCATTGTGTTCATACTTTTTGATTTTCTGAGCTAATAAATTTTTTTTTTTGGTTAAATGACTGCTCAAAGCTCTGCTCTCCACACAGAAGATCAGAATATTCATTTCGCCATGGAGTGAACAGCATTAGTTTTTTCTCTGTAGTAATTTTCTGGGTCTGTCTTTAAACTATAGCGCATATATAAGAAATTGATTTCCAATGTGTCTAACTTTCTCTTAATGTCAAGATTGCCCCCTCTTGCTTTCTTTTGCTGCTCTACTCAGCAGATCGCTCATACCTCTTTGGGATTTACTTGACAATGTATTTTGCACAAGCATATGGGTCCAAGACATACTGAATGTCAATATTAGCTGCCCATGCATGAAGAAGAGTATTGTTGTAAGCATTCAATCTAAGGTCACAGGATTTACGCTTTAGAAAATACTTTGGGTCCTCTAAAGGAACTTCTGATGCATTTGATATAATCATCTTCAGATAGTTGTAGTACATCCTACAAAAACTCTTGCAAACTGAAGTTTACATCACATCCATTTTTAAATTCATTCATTTTGTCTTGCATAGCTTTATGCATCTTCTTGTATTTCTCAACTTCACTATCCAAAGGTTCTAATATAATTGTAGCTTGGAGTGGTGGAAGTGGAAATCCAAATCTACAAACAGCCTTTCCTCTTTTTTGCATGTCTGTGAGTGTTTATGCACCTGTAATTCTGGCATATTGTCTTCTGCATTCCTTTCACATTTTAAGTAGCTATCAACAAACGCAACAATTTCCTTGTCATCATTTTCTAAGTATTTTGGAACATTTTCAATCCACACAATCATGTGAACATGTGGTGATCTCCTTTGTTGAAATTCAAGCCTATAGAAGAAATCCTTTACCTTGCCGATAGGATGATGATCACTCTTAAGCACAGTATTCAAAAAAGTTCGAAAACGATGATCAAAATACCTTGTACATGTAATTGGGTCTTTCTGAACTAACTTTGATTTTTCACTCCATGTGAAACTCTCTATTTCAGAATCTGTGTACTCTCTGTCATCGTTTAAAACACCTAGTGCCCTTATCAGATCACTCCATCTTGTATCTGCAGCAGAAAAGGACATAAAGCAAGTTGGTAGACCAAGCTGTCGTATCATTGCAAAAACATCTTTCTTCCTTGTTTCAAGATAAGGAGGAGAATTTCTCAACTGTTTGAAAACATAGAATCCCTCATTGTGTCTAACAATGTCATTAACTTGATGGGGATTTCTTATTTCATTTGCAGAAAATGTTTTCCCCTTTGTTTTGCAATTCCTGAGAGCTAAATTTTTGTCTGTTACCTGTTTAAGTTGAATCTTCAATTTGAAAAACAAGTTTGGTACCGATTGTGCAGCACGTCTATCGACACTTCGTAATTCCCACTTGGCAATATCAGCATATGAAACGGGTACTTGACGCTGATCATTGTCTTCTCTTCCTTTACCACAAAATATTGTTGGAAATGACAAATACTCAGCCATTTGATCTTGATACAAACTAATAGGACGTTGTCCCTCTCCTGGAGCAAATGTGAAGATTTGATTCATATCATACGAGTCACTGTCTAGTAGTGTATCACAATTTCCATCCTAAACCAGCTTCATAGAATTCGTCAGAATCTGATTCATCTGATTCGTCATGCATTGTTGAACCTTGATTGGTGTGGCCCTCTATAAACTCTCTCATTAATTCGCTTGCTGAATTGGTAACCTCATGGAACCATTTGTCATCTACGATGATGTTTGAATTCTGATAAAATTCACTGTTTTTCATTAACCAATGTAAAGCAATCAAAACCTTTGTAGGTCGGATATTTTCATGACAATAAGAGTGCTGAAAAGATAGTTTCCTTTTTAACTTTACAGGTATTGTGATATTTTCATAAAGTCTCCTGGGTAGACTATTAATTGTTGGTTGTATGTCAACTGGCACATTTACAAAATTTCCTTTTACAGAATACTGCCCTCCTCTTGGTAATTCTCTTATTTGCATGAAGGGAATTCTTAAGGAAACAAGTCTTTCTTCCAATGGTAACAAATTTAATTCACTTGGTTTTTGAATCCATGTCATTCCATTTGCAAAAGAGAGTTTTGGAGTTCGACTTTCTTTTAAGCTTGAATTGCAAGTGTTGCATATCCATTCTTGCCCATTTACAGACTTTGTATTAGTTAAATACTTCCTTTTGATTTCAGCATCCAACAAAACATTATTGACATTTGAAACACTTTCATGAAACCATGTCTGTTGGACACATGTGCATACAAACACAGGACCCAATCTTACATTGTTGTGAAAATTGTCAACACATTCTATTGCATCAACTCCAAATTTACTTTTTCTGTTTCTCTGTTTTTCAGTTTCAATATAGTCCAAATTCCCCCGTGACTGTGCTTTTGATTTCTTTTGCAGCAATATTTTCTGATGTTCTATATTCTTCATTTTTTCTCTTTTCTTTCATCTTCAATCTCTCTTTTTCTAACTGGTTGGGATTTTGTCTCATTTCCTTTTTCTTCATTAAATCTCTTGTTTGCTCATCATGTCTGTACGCTTCTTCTTGCCTTTTAATTCTCTTACTGTCCATTTCCTTGTCTGTAAACTCTGGATTCTGTCTCTTGTTTCTCTTACTGTCCCTTTCTTTTCCTTTAAACTCTAGATTTTGCCGTTTGTTTCTCTTACTGTCCCTTTCTTTTCCTTTAATCTCTGGATCTTGTCTCTTGTTTCACATACTGTCCCTTTCCTTGTCTTTAAACTCTGGATCTTGTCGTTTGTTTCTCATATATTCTCTCATGTAATTCTTTTTATCTTTCTTTGTCTCTGTTGTTTTTAAGTGACCAGTATTACTACCAACAGACTGTTTGTTCTTGAAAGCAGTTGTTGCTGACTGATCTAATCTACAGTATTGATGCATACTTTGATTATTGCTAGGGAAGCTATGAATAAGTGTATGGAAGGCAACAGGCATCACTTCAAATTCAGTTGCAAATTCAAATGCATACTTTCATACATTGCATACAGAAATCCTAATAAATCATCTAAGCAGGAACTGTGTCACATCAGAGATTTTCCATCACAGTCAGACAATTTATATTCCCCATGAAAGTGAGAGTCAAAAAAATAGAAATCATTGTCTGAAGCTTTGTACAGTGCTGAACATATCGAGCCAATCATTATCAATACATATCTAGATAGCCCCAATGCCTGTTGAAGACATTCATGAAGAGTTTGATTTTGATTTTTCTTATCATCTGTAACTAATAAGCCAAACAATGTATCAAACTTATCAACCATGTGGTAATTTTCACCAGACAATATGAGTTGGTAGTTCATCAAACATCAGTAATCTGCTTTTCAGTTTTCCAGCACTCTGAAGATTCTTCACAACTGTGTTGTATAAATTATCTCACTTGAGCAAAGTCTGATCTAAAAAAAAACTAGTGAATGAAAAATTTTCATATGCATTTGACATCATAAGTGAATTGCATGTACACTGATTACCTCTTGAAAATGATGAAAACCTCATGCTTCCCTGATGGAAAGACCCAAACACCAGATTATCTGAATTCTGATGCATACAATTACCTTGCAGTACAGGTGCTGTTTCATTTGGTATATTGTTCATTGTAAACTGAGTAATATTCTGAGTTGTAATCTGAGAGATATTCTGAGTAAGCATCTGAGAGATATTCTGAGTAAACATCTGAGGCATCATTTGAGACATAGTCTGAGTCAAAGTGGTCTCAGGGAGAGCCGCAGAGACCACTGTCACAGGGGTGGTAGAGATCACCCCTGCCGGTACAGATGTCATAGATGTCATAGGTGTTTAGGAAGTGGCCTACACCCAGAGGCACAGATGGTTGGACGTGGCCAATATCTGTGGGGTACTTGTCCCCCACATCTGCCTTACATGATTTCGTCTTCTTTACAGCAGCTTTCTTCCAACTCTTCTTCCTAGGCATTCTTTAATCTAAAAAAGAAGAAGTAAGAATGTTATTATCTATACCATAAAAGATGGATCAACATAGCATATACCTGATACATACACAGATTCTCAAATTAATAATGCTGCAATCACTGACACTTTCAAAAATAGATAGCAGCTGTTGGAAACTACAATGTAAATATTTAAAATAATATATTTATTTGTAGCACAAATCAAAATAAAAAAGGCAAAAAAGTTGAAAAAATTTTAAACCTGAAAGTTCAATTCAAAATTACATGCAAAATATATGCCAACATTCATTTAAAGACGGATGCAAATTAATTGGTAAACCATTTTCACACAAGACTTACCTTGAACATTTGTTACACATTTCCAGAAATTATATGTACCATATAAATGTATGCAACATTTACTGGCATACAGTTTTTGTGTAATCATCCAACATACTGTATGTACTCGCCTATAAGTCGGTCCGCCTATAAGTC